ACAGAACAGCCACTAGATATAGAGGCCAGAAAATGGTGGCACACACGCCTTTAATCCTAGCATTCCAGAAGCAGAGATCTGTCTGGATCTCTGTGAGTTCAAAGCCACACTGAAAACAGCCAGGCATGGTGACACACACGTTTAATCCCAGAAAGCGATGACAGGAAGTGGAAAGGTATATAAGGCATGAGGACCAGGAACTAGAGCCTGTTAAGCTTTTAGGCTTCTGAGCAGCAGTTCAACTGAGATCCATTCTAGATGAGGACACAGAGGCTCCCAGTTTGAGGAAACAGGATCAGCTGAGGAATTGACAAGGCGAGGTTAGCTGTGGCTTGTTCTGTTTCTCTGATCTTTCAGTGCTCACCCCAATACTTGGCTCCAGGTTCGTTTTTAATTAATAAGACCTTTTAAGATTCTTGTTACAGATAATAACAGAAAAAAAAGAAAGCATGTTTCTGATTTCTCTCTCTCTCTGTCTCTTGCTATATGACTCCATAACTTTAACACTAGCCGATAAAATTCTGATAGCAGAGTACTAAACACTATAATATCATAGCTACCAGCTCAGGATTTTAAATTCCCTATGGTTGCTTCTTTTTTTTTTTTTTTAAAGATTTATTTATTTATTGTGTATACAGTATTCTGCCTGCATGTAACCCTGCAGGCCAGAAGAGGGCGCCAGATATCATTACAGATGGTTGTGAGCCTCCATGTGGTTGCTGGGAATTGAACTCAGGACCTTTGGAAGAGCAAGCAGTGCTCTTAACCTCTGAGCCATCTCTCCAGCCCTGGTTGCTTCTTAATATGTCTAAAATTTGTCTCCTTTGTAAACTTAAAAATTCTTCTGAGCTCCAGGGAGTCGGCTCGGGCCCACCCGGACAGGTCAGATCCACTTCAGCTTGTCGGGTCCAACCTGTCAGATCCAAGCAGTGCTGGACGATTCCACAGGGCTCAAAACATTGGCGATAATCAGCTACCTCAGAACATCTGCCTACCTCAAGAAAAGCCCCTCCCCACCCTCCAAAAAAATTAACCAGTGCCCACCAATTCAGCTGGAAGCAGTCCCAAGAGACATGGTGCCCCCATTCCCATTTACCCCATACCCCAAACCCTTACTTTTCATAAGAACAAAAAGGGTGGAATGGCCGGGCAGTGGTAGCGCACGCCTTTAATCCCAGCACTCGGGAGGCAGAGCCAGGCGGATCTCTGTGAGTTCGAGGCCAGCCTGGGCTACCAAGTGAGTTCCAGGAAAAGGCGCAAAGCTACACAGAGAAACCCTGTCTCGAAAAACCAAAAAAAAAAAAAAAAAAGGGGTGGAATGTTATTATTCCTAGCCACTTCTGGAGTCACATGACCATGTATGCACTGTCAGCAGTCGGGTAAAATGCTTAGTTCCTCCAGGGCCTTATGTCCCATTACTGCATGCAGTGTGATCAGGTAACCTATGTGCATGTGTGGTATAGCTACGTAAGCCCATATACACATGTGTGAGGTGACCTCTAAAAGCAGGCCCTACCCGCTACCCACTCTCTCTCCCTCTCGCCAGAGGTAGCTCGCACTTCTCTCTCTCTCTCTTTCCCCCCACATCTTTCTTTTCCGTAGGCCTACCCAACTCCACCCATTCCCTTCCCTAATAAAAACTCTTATAGTGGGTTCAGTTGTACCTCGTGTTTTCTTGCGCCTGGTAAATAATGTTGCCAAATAAATAACATCTATGACCCCCTGTCATAACACAGGCCATGGACTTGAACATAGACCCCAGCTGCAGCAAGACCACAGACCCAGACATGGCCTTTGGCCAAAGCCCTGGCCTGGACAACCCCCTGGCCCTCAGTGATAGTGCAGGCCTCCCAGATCAGTATGGCTCTGGTCACAGCAAGGCCCTTGGACACCAGCATTGTCTCAGATGGCTCACCAGACCCTGGGCATCTGTACACCCCTCAGTGCTAACAGGAGCCACGGACATCAACTCAGACCCTGGCTCTGGTAGAGATTTTTTTTAATTTAAAAAAAAAAAAAAAGATCAAGATAGGCAGTGGTGGCACATATCTTTAATCCAAGCCCTTGAAGTCAGAGGTAGGCAGATCTTTGTGAGTTCAAGGCCATCCTGGTCTACAGAGTGAGTTCCAGGACATCCAGGGCTACACAGAGAAACCCTGTTTCAAAAAACCAAAACAACAACAACAACAACAACAACAGAAAGACCAGTGTTGGGCTTGGTTGTGTACACTGGCAGTCACAGGATGCTGGGGGGGGAAGCAGGCAAATCAGGTCAACCTTTATCCTTCACTGTAATATCAAATTTGAAGCCAGCCTGGGTTGAATGAAATGCTGTCTCAAAAAAAAAACAAAAAACAAACCAAAAAATCAGTCCAAGAAGCCCTGAACTGAAAGAACAAATCAATGTATTCAACCCAGAAAAAAGTTGGTATTTCAATTTTTGTTTATTTGTTTTATTTTTTGAGACAGGATTTCTCTGTGTATTCCTAGCTATCCTGGTTCTCGACACATGGATCAGGCTGGCCTTGAACTCACAGAAATCCACCTGCTTCTGCCTAAGAATTCTTGACATTTGAAGCCATGCCTGTAGTTCCAGCACCTTGAAGCTGAGGCAGGATTGCCCTGAGTTCAAAGCCCTGTCTGGAACATATAAACACAACATAACCAGAACTGGAGTTTGAAAACAGTTGGCAACAGTGATGCTGACAATGCCCTTGTTCCGGGGGGCTGGAGGATGGCTCAGCAGTTAGGAGCACTGGCTGCTCTCCCAGAGGACCTGGGTTCGATTCCCTATGCCTGCACTGTGGCTCACAACTGTCTATGACTCCAGTCACAGGATATCCAATGTCCTCTTCTGGCTTTCAGGGGGCACTGCACACACTTGGTGCACAGATACACGTGTAGGCAAACACCCATATACATAAAATAAAAGTAAATAAAACCTCAATGTCCTTGTTCCTGGACTTCATCCCTTACATCCCCCTTTCTCTTCTTCCTGTTCTGATAGGAAAGAAACTTCCCGACTCATTTTGGAGTTGCATCTTTTTTTGTTTCTGTTTTTGCTTTTGTTTTTCAAGGCAAGTGTGTGGTCCTGGCTGCCCTGGAACTCAGAGATCCAGCTGCTTTTGCCTCCCAAGTGCTGGGATTAAAGGTGTGCACCATGACTGCCTGGCTGGAGTTACATATTTAAAGTGTGTAAAGGTTAGGCAGCCAGGAACCAGTCCTACCACCTTGGCAGTAGAAAATATTGACCACGGGCCGAGAATTCCCATGGGGGCAGTTTTCATCGTTGACTCTGCTCCGGCTTCATTGGTGATCAGTTCACTGCTGATTCTTACGTTTGGGCTGGTTGGTGCCCCAGTCAAATTGTTGCGTGTTTTTGGAAACAGGGTCTCACTACACAGCCCTGGTTGGCCTCAAACTCCCTGATAGCGGTCTGCCTCTGTTTCCCCAGTGCTGGTATTAGAGGTGTGGACCACCACGCCAGGTCCTATTTCCAAGCCAAATATTTGTTTGGGGTATCAGGTAATTAGAGGGGAGGGAGGGAGGAGGGAACAAAGGCCATTATGTCCTTGAATTTTATCTCCAAGCAGTTAAACCCTTTTGTAGTCACCGGAGAGCAGATTATGAAGGCAAAGAAAAATAAATAATTGGGTCATCTTCACTGGGATCCATGTGAATTCTTTTGGGACAAGATTTAATGACTTCATAAATTGCCTGCTTGTTGTGTTATACGTCGAGATCCTTTGTGCCTCATTAAACCCCCAATGCCATGTGAAACTGAGTCCTCCTTTGCCAGCCTGACTGCATCTTGTCTTTGGGGTTGTGTCTTGGGCAACAGGCACCAGGCACATCTGGTTCAGTGTTCGGCAGGTGCCAGGTCTCTAGAGCAGTGACATCGGCTGCTCAGATAATTTTGATAGTCCATGCTCTAGATTAACTATACGACCTAATTGATCAGTTAATAAAAATTACCCCGTCGGAAAAAGAGCTTGGCTTCTGAGATTTGAGACAGTCCATTTTACTCTCTGTATAAGACACCTAATTTAATCCCAAACCACGCAAATATATTGTCTTAGGATGAGCCAATCTTTTCTGATGGAGTAATAGAGAATGAATCATAGCAGACAGATGGCTTTCTTTTAATACTAAATAATGGATTAAGTGTTAGGTCCCAGAGGAACTCAGGACAAATGACTAACTGTGGTACCTATTAACATATCAAAGTGGACTCTGGCCACCCGGATCTCTCAGCGTTACAAATACCTGTTAGAGTCCTGGCTCCCCTTGGCACTGCTCACCTCTGCCCCCTATCCTAAACCTCTCCAGCCCGAGCTTCCCTTCCCTTCCCCCAGCTTCTGATCCCTATATAACCCAGCCACGTGGCCACGCAGTCTCTGGATCCCTTTCTCCTCTCTTGGTCTGCTTGCTCTCTCTCCTTTTCTTTCCCTCACCTCCTCCTCTCTCTCTCTCCTCTCATGGCCTGATCTATTCTGCTGGCCATGTTCAGTCTGGACTCTTCCAGACGCCTCTGACTGTCCTCTCCCTCATACCTACAGTAAAAACTCCCTCCTCAACCATACCCAAGAGCAGTCACGTCCTCATCTCCATTCAATAAGGAATTCCCCCCTTTCCATAGCTGTCATTTACAAAACACCCAGGTAATAAGATGCTTGTTTTCCTCAGAGCCTCACAGGACAGCACTGCTCAATGGATCCACTACCTACCCCCGCCCAACAAGCTATAACCCATCCCTGACCATAAAGGCACAGAAATTGACAGTACCCATCTGGGAAGCTCTATAGCAATTCAACCATGTGATTATTTTTTCTAGCACTTTCTTTTCATTTCATTCAGCAGAAGTTGATAGTTCCTGTTGGATCGGAAGTGAAAGAAGCTGCTGCCCTTGGCTGAGCTGGTTTGAGCCGGTTTGAGCCGGCCGCTGTGGTGACAGTCACAGCGTCCTGTCTTCTGGTCTGGCTGTTGTAGCAGATGTTTGGAGCAGTAGCTGGTGATGTTGTGCTTGGTTGCTCTGCTTCTAGGTGTCAGGACACACAGAGCTGCTCGGCCGGACTTCCCTCTGCCCCAGTGTCCTCCCCTGCGTTTAGAAGGGATCTAAGAAGTATCTTCCTTCTCCTGCGTTTCCACATTCCTGTCTCCCATCCCAGGCCATGCTGTGCTATTATCACTCTTGCATCAGAGGTGAGTCAGGTTAGTCGAGATATGATAGGAGGTCACCTTCCTGCTTCCTACTAAGGTGGAGTACTAACCCAGACACCTTCCTGACCTCTTGGACAAGGCCCTTGGTCCTCAGGTCCTCCTCCATCCTGACAAGCACTCAGGAGTGCCTTTCACTCCTCCAGGGCTCCTCTAGCCAGAGGCATAGATCTAAATAATTGATTGGTTTAGAGTCCTTTTGTTTAAAGACATTTGTCCATTTGGGGGTAGTATTTACAAAATTTCAAGCCTGGGCCAGACACGATAACAAATGCCTTTAATCCTAGCTCTCTGGAGATTGAGTGGAACTGATCTCCAAGCATTTGAGGCCAGCCTGGACTGCATAATGAAGTCAAGGTCAACCTGGGATATAGCATGAAAACCTATCTCAAAACAAAAATTCAAGGCCATAATCTACAAATGCTGGCTTTCTCTCTCTCTCTTTCCTCGAATGGAAAGAATTGGCACTTGGGGACATTACTGGCCTCGTGTGTCTGAGGCCCCAGGTCTGATCTCCAGGACCACAAAACAAGCAGCAATACCCCGTCTTTGCTTTACCTTTTACCGTAATTGGCAGGAACAGTCCCTGCTGTTTTCAGCTTAACGATACTTAGAGGTAGTGTGTAGCTCGGCCTCAGAATACTCGCCTAGCACGCACAAAGAAAGCCCTTGCCTGTCATCCCAGCATCTGGGAAGGCAGAGGCAGGAGGATCAGGAATTTAAGGCCGGCCTGGGCTACATGTGACCCCATCTCAAGTGAAAATAAACAGATAAAGTCCATTTCTCTTTCTCTTGAATCGGGGAAGACCCTGTGACTGCTCTGACCAATGGAAGGGCGGAAGCTCCTTCAGACCTTTCTGCTGGCTGGCATCTTCCTCTCCTGTCTCTTGGAATACTCACCTTTGGCCGCTTCCTCTCCAAATTCAGCTTGCCTGTGGAAAAGCCCAGACTACATAAAGACGTCAAACCCGAGTACCTCTGCGCCCTTGACTCCCATTCAGCATGGACTGCCGTGGCTCAGCCAGCCTTCTGTGATGTCTGACTCAGTGGAGCCTTCTGTCAACTACAGTCCCAGGCAGCATATAACTGATGTCGCATTACATGTGCCAAGCAAGGGCCTCTGGTTGATCTCAGGAAGCCCACGGAGCCATGAGAAGGAATAAAGTATTGTTTTACATGACTATTCTGGGATGGCTTTTTACATGATCATAGACAGTCTGTACAAAGAAGCCCGTGAGTGGGCTTGGAAGAGCACTTGCCACTTTGAGAGAAGCAGAGTTCTGTTCCCAGCATCCATAGCAGGCAGGTCAGGACTGCTTGTAACTCCAGCTCCAGGGGACCTGATGCCCTCGTCTAGCCTCCTCAGGTACCTGCACACAGGTGGCATTCACACATACAGACAGACATACACACACACACACACACACACACACACACACACACACACACACACACACAGACACACACACACACACACACATACACACACACACACACACAGACACACACACACACACACACACACACACACACACACACACACACACACACACGCTGAACAAATAGCCAGTCATGCTGGTGCACACCTTTAATTCTAGCACCTGGGAGTTGTCAGGTCCCAAAGAGAGCCAGGGCAAATGGCTAACTGTGGTGTCTCTTAGCACACCAAAGCACGTGTGTCCCTGTGGCTCCTCTCAGTGCTTCTCACCCTGCCCCCTACCCTAAACCTCCCCAGTCAGGGGCTTCCCTGCTGTCCCCCCAGCTTCTCTTTCCTGTGTAACCCTGCCATTTCGGCCACATGGTCTCTCGGTTATTCTCTTCTTTTTGTCCTCTACTCTTGACTTCCGGCCCCGTCTCTGGCCCCTCTCTCTCCTCTTCCTCTCTCGCTCCTCCCCACAAACCTCTCATGGACTCATCTTTCCTGCTGGCCATGTTCAATTCACTACTGTCTCTCTTCGCTCTGGACTCTTCCAGATGTCTCTGGCTGAATTCTCTCTCACATCTACAGTGAAAACCTTCTCCTCAACCACACCTAGGAGCGGTCATGTCCTCACTTTCACTCATCTGGTCCTGAAACCAGGACAGGTATATCTGAGCCTCTTCCAAGGGACTCTGAACCACAGATTTGACTCTGCTAAGGCATGTGCGGCTCATTCGTTTCTGCCACCCACCAAGTCTGACTCCAGATCCTAGGGTCTGTCTCTTTGGCCATTTCTTCCCTCCACCTGCTCTAACTAGTCATCTCTCCTGCTCTATCTCTGGGTAAGTGTCTCTCTGGCTCCTGGAGCCTGGCACACCCTCCTGGGGCACCTGTCACCTGGGCATCTCTCCTCCTCTCTGGTCTGCTATGCCCTCCACATGGCATCTCTCTGCTGAGACACTTCACTCCTCCCCCTCTATTGGAACCCTCCTTTTCCCAGAAGCCTCTCTCAGTCACCTCTTCAGCTGTTTTCTCCTCTACCTGCATTAGCCACTGGTTTCTCCTCCTCTACTGGGTGAGTGTCACCCCGGAACTGCCTGCTCTACTACAAAAGCCACACTGGTGTACCAGAAGCTCCTTTGGCCCTACTGGGCACCTGTCGTGTGTAAAGGGATGGCTGTACTCTGTGATTTGGGACATTTCTCTTAGACAAGTCTCTCAGTCTCTTGGGATGTCCCAAATTGAAATTCACCCCTTCTCTCCCACCCTCCCTGCCTTTCCGCGTGTTCTCAGCTCCCTCCTGGAGTTTCCTCACCTCCCCAGGCAGCAGCCTGTGAAGTCCCACAGCTTCCTTACCCCTCCCAGGCCTCTTTGATACTGGAACCCTCCCTCAGGCAGAGCTCTTGTCTGTGGCCCGGTCCCTTTGTCTCTCAGCTCCCTCCTGGAAGTCCCACTGCTTCCTCACGCCCTCCTGGGCCTTAGGTGACCCCTTCTGGCTTCCTCCTCAGACCGGAGACTTAATTAAAGCCTTGCTGTCTTACTGCAAATGGCCTGGCTTCCGTACAGCTCAACCAAACTCTCTCATATGTTACAACTTCTGCCACTGCACACACGAATGATTCCAAAATCTCTTACGTCTGAACTTTCTCTGCTCTGAACTTCCAAAAGTCTCTAATCTCCAAGGTTTTTCTACTTTCCACTCTTAAAAATCTTTTATCTTCACTATTTCTTTGACTCTAATCTTGAAGGAAACAAAAATCTCTTAAGACTATGTAGTAATAGTTAATATTCTGGTCCACCCCTTAAAATCCCACCCCTCGGCCCTGCATCCTGATGTAAAAGCCTCCTTCTAAGGAAAAACCCCTCCCCTTCCTCTCTCTCTTCTGCTTTTCCTCCCACGAGGTGCGCACCCTCTCTCTCTCTCTCTCTCTCTCTCTCTCTCTCTCTCTCTCTCTCTCTCTCTTTTACCTCTGTCTCTCTCTTCATCTCTCTATTATAATGAACTCTCCATGTGGATGCAGCATCTGGGTTGTGATTACTGGCCACCACCACCGCACCAGACCCACATAGTGTGCGGCTGCCCAGCCCGCCACTGCATCTACCCAGCATGTGTTCCTGCACCAGAGGGACACCCTTGGGGCTTCCCCGTGCAATAATCCATAACAGTAATCTGTCTCAGGATTTGTAAATTCATTCAGAATAGCTAAAAATCTGTGACAAAAATTTAGCTTAAACCAGGCGGTGGTGGCGCACACCTTTAATGCCAGCACTCGGGAGGCAGAGGCAGGTGGATCTCTGTGAGTTCTAGGCCAGCCTGGTCTACAGAAGGAGTTCCAGGATAGCCAGAGCTGTTACACAGGGAAACCCTGTCTCAACAAAACAAAACAAAACAACAACAACAAGTTAGCTTAAAACTCATAACAAAAGGCTTATAGTTAAAATCTATATATAGGTAATTTCAATCTGTTACATATCATACTATATACATGCATATACTACTTGAATTCAGCTCTTTTAAAAAAAAATAGATCTACTTACTGCACATGTAACTTGGATTCAGTTCTTATTTAGAAAAAATAGATGTTTTTAAATAGCAACCATGTGGTTCACCTCCATCTCAGCTAATGACTTCATCAGGACGGAAGCAACCCTGTGGCTGGCAGGCATCTTTACTAAGGTGAAAAGTGTATGCCACGTAGCTTCACCCCATCTTGATTAAGACAGCCACGTGGGATAAACCAACAAAGGCAGCACCCACCAAACTTCTTAGTCTTACTGAGTCCTCTGCTTCTCATCGTGTCTATTTTTTAGACTAGGGAGGCAACAGCAGGTCTCCCAAAGTACTTGGATTAGGATGGAGTTTTGTATGATAAATTCCTGAGGTTGTGAAGGTGTACTCAGGTAAACAGAAACTGACTTAGAGGTGTATGTCTAACTACTTCAGTCTTTGCTAACTGTGTTCAACACCAGGCTTCTAGAAAATTTAAATAAAGAAAATATATATTTGATAAATAAAATATGCTTAATAAATAAAGGTTTAAAAATTTGTAAGGTTATAAAAGTATACTCTGTTTAACAAAAACTGACTTAGAGATGTATGTCTAACTATTTATGATTTTGCTAACTGTATTCAACACCAGGCTTCTAAGAAATTAAATAAAAACAATATATATTTAATAAATAATGCATATTTAATAAATAAGGTTTGTAAATTTCTAAGGTCTGCTCAGATTAACAGTAACTGACTTAAAGATAAATGTCTAGCCACTTGGTCCTTGAAAACTTTGATAAGCTTTAACTATTTGGATAAACTGAATCATACAAAAAACCTGAGATAGTCTATAATGGTGCACTATGAAAGGACCAGGGAACTGAGGTTGCCAGTCTCTCTGTGGGCTGTATTTATGGTTTAGTATTTTATTTTGATGCTAAAGAATCTTTAATTAAATTTTCAACTCAAATTTTTAAAGCTCAAACTCAACAGGAATAAAATTGTGAAATCATAATCTTACAGAAGCTGCTAACATGTGAACTGTTGAAGGTAATGAAGACATGCAAGTTAATGCTCAGTCACTTTATAAAATGACCAAATTCTTTAATACGTGCAGGAACTGTGTTTGTAGTCGAGCTAAGTACAAATGTAGTTCATTTACAGGGACAAGCTTTATTGAGCCTCCTGTATGTGTTTTCAAGGTTGAGCATAAAGCAAGTAACTAAAAACAAGTAAAGTTTGTTTAAAATCAGGTATACTTAATAGATGGTCCTCAAGTTCCTCAGGGATCTGTTGACTATGGCATTTAAAATGTTTAATTTAAGGACTGGAGAGATGGCTCAGAGGTTAAGAGCACTGGCTGTTCTTCCAGAGGTCCTGGGTTCAATTCCCAGCACCCACATGGTGGCTCACAACCACTTGTAATGAGATCTGGTGCCCTCTTCTGACCTGCAAGAATACATGAAGACAGACATAGATGTAACTGTCTTTTTAAATAAGAAACACAGCCGATTCAGAGATGAAAGCCAAGAGGTCAGAGCAATAGCTAAGAGCTGAGATTAAAAGCCTTACCCTTCACTGCCGCTGCTGTCCTACCTCTCCGCAAGAGACCTACTTCCTGTGTGTTTGTGCTTTTTATTGACTTTCTTTTTTTTTGGTTTTTCGAGACAGGGTTTCTCTGTGTAGCTTTGCACCTTTCCTGGAACTCACTTGGTAGCCCAGGCTGGCCTCGAACTCACAGAGATCCGCCTGGCTCTGCCTCCCGAGTGCTGGGATTAAAGGCATGCGCCACCACCGCCCGGCTTTTTATTGACTTTCTATTCTGCCTTTTTATTGGTTGTAAACCTAACCACATGACCTCCTCATCACTGCCAGTCTGTACAGACTTCCAGGTCTTCTATGGTTGGTATTGAGATTAAAGGCGTGTGTCTCCATGCTGGCTGTATCCTTGAGCACACAGAGATCTGCCTAGCTCTGCCTCCCAAGAGCTGGGATTAAAGGCGTGCACCACCACCATCCAGTTTCTGCTGTGGCTTGCTATTAGCTCTGACCCCCAGGCAACTTTATTTTTTTATTTTTTTATTTTATTTTATTTTATTTTATTTTTGGTTTTTCGAGACAGGGTTTCTCTGTGTAGCTTTGCACCTTTCCTGGAACTCACTTGGTAGCCCAGGCTGGCCTCGAACTCACAGAGATCCGCCTGGCTCTGCCTCCCGAGTGCTGGGATTAAAGGCGTGCGCCACCACCGCCCGGCTGGCAACTTTATTTA